ATAAAAAACTTACTTACAGTCTGTGAGTCAGAACAGCCAGCATTGTAGTCTACTCTCCCAGGATCAGGAAACAGTCCTCCATAAAATGCGCTGCACACATCTGAATATTTGGGTTGAACTGTTCTGGAACAGTGTTGTAAATACAACTTAACCACTGATTTCTAGTCATATCCTCTTTTGGAAGGCCAAACAAAGTAGTTTCGCTTTTACAAAGACGAAACACACAGCGTCACACACGGCAGGCTTGAGTTAGCGGAGGCCGACGGGCTAGAGTGTGCACCAAGAGCTTGTAACACTCCAAAGAGAAAGGAAAAATTGAAATCGCATCATATGACCCCTTTAAATTAAATTAAATTCTCTCTCAGCCCCGCTCCACTTGTCACAAAAATTTTAAGTTAAACTAACTTAAAATAAATGAGTTTGTTTACTTAAATGTTTTGTGGTAATCAGTTGCCTCAAATTTTTGGAGTATTCTTAACTTATCAGGTTTTACAGTGTAATTAAATTGAGTGCAAATGACAACGGAGTATAAAAAAACGAAAGATTTGTGTGGTTTTATCTTATTCTAAGTAAACCGAAATAAGCAAACAAGTGAAATCTTTTTTTTTTTTTTTTTTAGTGTGTTCTACTATATTTGCGTGTATATACTATTCTTCCAGGAAAGGCTTGAGGTGCACCACTTCTTCACATTTGTGAAATGCTCTCCAATGATCACTCAGTACCCCCAATCACATTTTGGCTAATGCAATTTACATTGCATTTGTCAAAATACACACAAATAAATATTCACCTGGTTGAGACTGATTACGGCTTTAATACAAAGTGTGATGCTTGCTTTCAACAAACAGTACATCAGCTCTTACCTCAACCGAGCATAGGAGTTCTGCATGGGGAATAATCATGGAATGAAATTAAGTCACATACTGTTCTGCACATTTGCTCTGCGCAAATTTTGAAAGCTGTCAGACAGGCAAGCTTTAGGCAAACAGATGACAAAGGACTGAGAGACTTTGCCACGTATGCTTTCCCAAGACTCCAAAATGCCAGCAACATTACTACGGTTTTTTAAAATTGGTTTGGTACTATTTTCATAAGTAAGGTGTACTTACAAGGTACTTGGTACTTTAAGTACTCTTAGTACAAAACTTTAAACTGATCACACTTGTAATACCACTAATCATACTTTCAAAACCTGATCTCATTGTAGTTGCACATATTTTCATTTCACAATCATTGGTTCAGAACACAAGATCATTGTGATTTGTTTTGAGAACATTTGTTTAATCTCCAAAACACAACAGTAAGATCTTTTTTTTTCTTTCTTCAACTTAGTATGTTTAACAATCAGTTTCAGACAAAAGCTATATTTAAAATAAAATAAAAAACACCTTTATACAACATGAAAATGTGATCAAAGAACGCATCAAAAGACATTTACAGACACAAGCAAAAAAAGTATTTTATTTTAATTTACAACAATACTGTGGTTGCATGTGAACCTGAACACCTGAAATTCACATTAATTATCAAGCCGGTCTTCAACATTTGGCCATAAATTATCATCAACATAACAGTGAATGTCTTCATTTTTCAGGTACCGTGGGAAAAACCTTCTGGCATGACGAATCCAGGCTTGACATTGCTCTGCAGTTATTGCTCCACAAGCTTCATCCATGGCTTGAAGGGTGACATGCTCATGTGGATGGCGATCATACACCTTCCATGTAGAGAATAATTCCTCAATTGTGTTGAGGAAAGGAGAGTATGGGGGAAGGTAGAGGGTCATGAACAGAGGATGTGCCTGAAACCATTCCCGAACCAGCTCTGCATGGTGGAAACTGACATTGTCCCACACGATAACCTCTTCACCCTGACAGGCCTGCTCAAGCTCATTTAGAAAAGCGATCAGGTGTTCAGTGTTATATGATCCTAGAACTACTCTACAGCCTACCACACCATCTTCAGATATATCTGCACACATTGAGAGGTTTCCCTCACGTTGTCCAGGCACTTGGATGGTTGCCCTTTGGCCAATAAGGTTACGTCCACGGCGTCTGGTTTTTGCCAGATTGAAACCGGCCTCATCAACAAAAATATACTTGATTCACAGCAGTGTCCAGCTCCATCACCCTCTAAAATAATAATAATTTGGTTAGCTCTTTTACAAATAATAGTTGACATGGTTAGTCAGTACTGTAAATTGCATGTCATACAGTACACCAATTTAGTGTTGTACCTGAACATATTCTGAACGCAGTTGTTTGTTTCACCCGGGCATTGTTTCTCTCAAAAGGGACCAAGTAAATTTGTTTCATAGAAACCTGGTGCTTCTTCAAAAGGCGGGCAATAGTTGGAAGGCTAATTGACGCCACATTGGCAAAGGTGTCATTGCTGTTCTCAATAGCCGGCTTGATTTCAAACAGCCGTGTTTCATTTCTTGCCCTGACCATTTCCACCACAGCTAACTCCTGCTGGTCAGTCAAATCACGTGGGCGACCACCACCAGGTTGTCTCCTGTTAATTCTGAGGGGACAACAGTATGCTGTCAATATTTTACTATTACAAATTACATAAAACTGTGACAATTACATGCTGTTCTTCTATACAGTAATGCCATTACTGTAACAGTACTATATTGTAAAAGTATAGTGAAGTTACTATAGCAGACTAGCAGTTTTTTTGGCGAAAAGTTCTGATGATAGAGCTGACAGTTGACCTTTGTAAGTTAGGCTGAACTAACCTGGCAGCCTCTGCCATGGTATGGCCTCTGTTAACCACATGGTCAGCAATGATGGCCCGGACTTCATTAGAGATGGTGCGCGGTCTTCTGCCTACATTTCTCTGAAGACCACCTCTCTGTTGAGGAGCACCACCACCTCTTTCTCTTGGTCCATGTCCACCTCTGTTGAGGAGCACCACCACCTCTTTATCTTGGTCCTTGTCCACCTCTGTTGAGGAGCACCACCACCTCTTTCTCCATGTCCACCTCTCTGTTGAGGAGCACCACCACCTCTTTATCTTGGTCCTTGTCCACCTCTGTTGAGGAGCACCACCACCTCTTTCTCCATGTCCACCTCTCTGTTGAGGAGCACCACCACCTCTTTCTCTTGGTCCACCTTTCTGCTGAGGAGCACCACCACCTCTTTGCCTTGGCTCACGTCCACCGCTCTGTTGAGGAGCACCACCACCTATTTGTCTTGGCCCACGTCCACCTCTCTGTTGAGGAGCATCACCACCTCTTTGTCTTGGCCCACGTCCACCTCTCTGTTGAGGAGCACCACCACCTCTTCAATGCAGGTTTCCTCTCTCTACAAGCCTATTCTGCTCCATGTTTGAACACATGATCTGTTGTGATATAAGTACTAAGAGTTTTGAAAATTTACCAAATGCTTGTGAAAATTGCGCCAAAGCAATTAAAAAAAACTGTAAGTACCTTAATATCAGCATGTTCTACACATATTACTAATCACAGAAAAAAATATTTTAGGCTTTTTTTCACTAACTTAAATGTTGATTTATCTAGTTTAGTAAAACATGATGTGTTTTAAGGCAAGTTCCCAGGTTGTGTGAGTTCATGGCCAGTTTAACAAGCTTTTTTTCTTTTTTTTTTTTTAACTAAATCTACCATCCAATAGCATTACAAGACTGAACAATTGGACCTATTAGTTGTGTAAAAAAAATTGTGCAGGTTTATTTAACTACAGCTAAAACTGATGTTGTAATATTACAACAGTGGGCCTTAGAGGGTTAATGTAAGGCAAAGATTGAAGTTACAGTGATCTGCTGTTACCTACATTTTCTATGTTAAAAATACAAAACAACTTTTTATCCCTTCAGTAATGATGCTCACAATATACACAATGCTATAAATGCTAGATAAATAAAATAACATCACCACAGCAGTAAGTCAGGGGAATACTTTTATTAAGATTTTAAAAAGATTTTACTATTAGACTTTACAATCAGATGTATTATGTATAAATGTTTAGTTCATGTCACTGTTAATGAATGGAACCTTACTGAAAAGCTATTCCAGTGTGATAATGCATCCTGAAACTTATTGTTAATTGCTAAACAGTCAATTTAGTTTTCTAAAGTGTCAATGTTAAAGGGTATTTTATTGAAGTGAGGAGAACATTTTCAATGCAGCAATTTATCATAAAATGTTGCGTTTTGGCCTCCAAAACTTTTATAGTGCGTTTGTGATGCAAGAAATGGCGAATCAACCAAACAGGCATCACACTTCACCATTTAACTGGGGACCAAAGTCATTTTATTTAACAAATTCACTCTTCACTGTGAAAAGTATTGACCTGCAATCGTTACCTTAAAGAGCTCTTTCTGCTTGTTTTAACCCATAAAATGAGTTTTGTTAAATATGTGCATGTAGTAATGATTTGAGTAAACTAAAGGACACATCCGGGGATTTGAACTGTACTTGGCTAGATATGAACTTTGAATTGGAACAGCACTTTGGCAACAACTGATGACGTTTCACAAGAACACAAGTACAGACAAGATGCGTATGTTGAGAAACAGCTCATGTGTTTATAATATGAGTTATAATATGTTGAAAATGCTGATGTACTGCAGTAATGGGGAATGGGGGTGTATGTTGAAGTGTCTCAGAGTCTGGCTTGCTGTATAGAGATGTAAATGAGCAAGGGGGGCAGTGACGACTCAAGCTGATCTGAGATTTGAGCCACATTAGAGTGGAGGAGGGGAAGATGGCAGCTTCTTAATGTTATTTTCACACAGAGATTGGAAGGTATATTAGTAAAATTTCTTGACTTTAGCCATCTTTGTTGCTTTATATGGCAGTGGTGACAAATCAAAAATGGGGAAAAAACACTTTTTAACACTTTTTTTTTTCAAAGTTTGCATACCTGTAAATCAAGAAGTATTGAAGATATTGTTCTTGTTCTTGTTTGTTTATTTATATAGCACCATTTAAAACACAACCAAGGTTGAACCAAAGTGCTTTACATAAAAAGTACAAGAATGGAAACAAACATCGACAACATAAAACACCACATCGACATATAAAACACCATATCAATCATTGTATGCTACCAACATTAGATGTGCTTTCAACAGTTTCTTAAAAATTGACAGTGATTTGGCAGACCTGATCGGCAGGGGCAACTTATTCCAAAGTCTCGGCCTATCACAGCGAAGGCTCGATCGCCTTTATATAGGCGATTTGTTCTAGGCACTACAAGTAATTTTTGATTCTCTGATCGTAATGTTCTAGGAGGATTATATGGGATTAAAAGGTTTGCCAAATACAATGGGGCCTGGTTGTTTAAAGATTTGAACACGAACAATACAATTTTATATTTAATTCTAAAATGGACTTGGAGTCAATTTAAAGAAACTAACACAGGGGTAATTGATTCATATTTCTTTACCTTTTTTAGTAACCTCGCCGCAGCATTTTGTACTGATTGTAGTCGAGACAAAGATGTGGCGGTGATGCCAGAATACAAAGAATTACAGAAATCCAGCCGTGATAGAATAAAGGCATGGATTACTCTTTCAGAGTCTGAGTTTGTTAAGAACGGTTTAACTTTGGCTAATAAACGCAAATTATAAAAACCAGCCCGAACCACTGAGTTAATTATCTAATTTTAGGTTATTATCAATTAGGAAGCCTAAATCTCTTACAGATGACCTCTGTTTTTTCCTCATTTAGCATTTTTTTATCAAGGTGCTCAGACCAACACAGACGTAACATTGGAAGTGTTTTCTTGTTCTTGTTCGTTTATTTATATAGCACCATTTAAAAGACAACCGAGGTTGAACCAAAGTACTTTACACAAAAAGTACAAAAATGGAAACAAATATCGACAACATAAAACACCACATCGACATATAAAACACCCCATCAATCATTGTATGCTATCAACATTAGATGTGCTTTCAACAGTTTCTTAAAAATTGACAGTGATTTGGCAGACCTGATCGGCAAGGGCAACTTATTCCAAAGTCTCGGCCTATCACAGCGAAGGCTCGATCGCCTTTATATAGGCGATTTGTTCTAGGCACTACAAGTAATTTTTGATTCTCTGATCGTAATGTTCTAGGAGGATTATATGGGATTAAAAGGTTTGCCAAATACAATGGGGCCTGGTTGTTTAAAGATTTGAACACGTTCGCCATCCAATTTTTTATGTCCTTTAAACACTCTAGAAATGACTCAAATGAATTTGTGGAATGTCTGATTGGTAAATACATTTGCGTGTCATAGGCATAACAATGAAATGATACACCATTCTTTCTAAAAATGCTGCCCAGAGGGAGCAAGTATAAAGAAAAAAGTATAGGAGAAAGGATAGAGCCTTGCGGAACCCCCCAAGGAAGATGTTTTTTTACCTGAGATTTTATTATTATAATTAACTGAAAAACATCTATTGCTCAAATAGGACTGAAACAATTTCAGGACTGTACCCTTTAGCCCTACTGAATGTTCAAGACGGGAGATGAGGATGTTATGGTCGATCATGTCAAAAGCTGCACTCAAGTCAAGCAACACCAAAACAACATAATCTCCTTTGTCTAAGGAAAATATCACTTAACACTTTCAATAATGCTGTCTCAGTGCTGTGGGCTGTTTTGAACCCCGATTGAAACCTTTCTCCTATAGAATTTTCACTTAGAAATGAGAGTAGTTGTTGCAATACAACTTTTTCTAAGATTTTTGAGGCAAAGCACAGCTGAGAGATTGGTCTATAATTCTGCATTTCATCCTGAGCTAAATTGATCGTTTTAGCTGAGGTGTCACCACAGCATGTTTAAACTCTAGTGGACATATTCCACTAGACAAACTTTTGTTGATCAGATGTGCTAAACTCAGTGATACGCAATCAAAGGTCTGCTTTAACAAACGACTAGGTATGAAATCATTTGCACAGAATGTAGGTTTCATTTTTTGCACAATATCCTGCAGCATAGTCGAAGTAGTAGGCTCAAAAACCCTCAATTCAGCAATGCAAGCAGGATAGTCAGATGGATCAGTTTTCACCAGAGGAATCTGCGCACGTTGATTAAATTAAATTCCGCCACGACCAGTCTGACGGGGCTCATGCTTATAACAGTAGCTTGGTGGAGTAGACTCATTTAGACCAATATAATCATTAGGTTTTAGCCAGGTTTCAGTCAAGCAGAGTACATCAAAACGATTATCTGTGATTATTTCATTTACAATAACTGCTTTGGGTGAGAGTGATCTAATGTTTAGGAGCCCAAACTTTAAAAATTGTTTTTGTTCATTTATTTTACATTTTTCTGGTTTAATCACGATCAGATTTTTTCTAGATCCTGCATTAAATTTATATTTTGACCTCACTATTCGGGGAACAGACACAGTCTTTATAGGTTGGACAGCACAAGTACTTCTATCATTTAAGCGGGTAGAACACAAGTCATCAGGGCAGTTATTTGAGATTTGACTTACTAGTCATATGGAGCGTAGCGTCCTGGAGATGTTGTCCGACATGAGTTCCGCACCTACTCTGCTGGGGTGCAGGCCATCAGTGCGAAAAAGCCTAGGACGCTCGCAGAAAAGATTCCAATTATTAACAAAGGGCAGTTTCTGTTCTTTACACCATGACAATTCATTCATTTAAAGCAAAAAGTCTACTGAACCTTTCGTGTCCTCGTCGATACGTGGGAAGCGGTCCTGACACGATGATCGTCGTCGCGGGCGATGTGCGGCGCACCGTCTCGATCAGGCTCCTGAAGTCTCTCTTCAGTGTCTCCGTCTGCCGCAGCTTGGTGTCGTTAACCCCCGCGTGAAGCACGACCGCTCCGGTGCTCTCGTCGCCCTTCAGGATCGCGGGTATCTGCGCAGAAACATCGAGAACACGAGCACCAGGGAAACAGTGAGTGTGCACTTTACCTTCAGCTAACGTAGCACGGACGATGGAGACGATGGAGTCTCCGATGATCACAGCGTCGCGTTCCATCTCGCGGAGGGGAGTGAAGTGGGAGATCTCGAAGATCTCGAAGACCGGAGGTGGCGGAGGTGGAGAGGTCGTCGCCTGGGGCCTGGCTCGCGTTTTCCGTGGCGGGTGCACCCAGGGTCCGAGGTGTCCCGGTGCCGGAGTGAAGGACATCTGGGAAGATTGCGTCCTGGGTGCACCGGGCCTGTGCAGAGAAACACACGGAGTAGAGGTAGTGCGAGAGTTAGCAGCGGGCTGTATACTTACCTCGGACTTGTGAGCATCAGCCTGGGATGTTGATCAGCAATCTTTTGGCTAAAAAATTTTAGAAAGTCCTCAC